ACCTCATGATCCGCCTACCTTGGCCTCTCAAAGTGCTAGGATTACAAGCATGAGCCACCGCACCCGGCCTGGTATTCCTTTTTCTACTGCACCTCACATCCCACAATACATTCCCACATAGCAGCAAGGATGCTCTTTTAAAAGATTAAGCCAAGCACAGTGGCTCACGCCTGTAATCCCAGCAGTTTGGGAGGCTGACGCGGGCAGATCAGTTGAGGTCAGGATTTCAAGACCAGTCTCCCTAGCATCGCAAAACCCCGTCTCTACTTAAAATACAAAAAATTAGCTGGGCATGGTGGCACATCTCTCTAATCCCAGTTACTTAGGAGGATGAAGCATGAGAATTGCTTGAACCTGGGTGGTGAAGGTTGCAGTGAGCCAAGATTGTACCACTGCACTCCAGCCTGGGTGACAGAGCAAGACTGTCTAAAAAAAAAAAAAAAAAAGCATAACATGATGACATTTGAAACCCTCCAATGCTTCCTGCTGTAATTAGAATAAAACTTTAATTTCTCCATGGCTTATAATACCTATGTCTGGTAATTAATCTTGGCTACACATCAACATCACCAGGGGACCCTTATAGAAGCATTAAGTTCTGGGCCTTCCGCCGATCCAATTAAATCAGAATATTTGGTGGTGTGGCCTAGGCATCAGTATTTGTAAAATTTCCCTGGTGGGTCTCATGGGTGCTCAGGGTTGAGAATTATGACTCCTCTAACTACCTTCTTACTGCCTCTCCTCACCTCAGTCTCTTGCACTGATCTCTGGCAATGACCATTTTCTTCTCTCTTTGAAGTCAGCTTACTCTTGCCTCACAGCTTCCTCGCTTGGTATGTTTCTGTCTGCAAGATTCTTTGCCCAGCTCTGTTAATGTCTCATTTCTTTTAGCTTCTTAGGGTAATCTAGTCCTTGATCACCATATCTAAAATAATGTCCCATGTTATAACCGTTGTCTGCCATGCTGCTTTCCTTGCCCACTTTACACTTCTTCCTCTTAGCATTGTCATTATCTCAACTCATGGTTTTTTTTGTTTGTTTTTATTTTTTGTTTTAGACAGAGTATCACTCTATTGCCAGGCTGGAGTGCAGTGGTACAATCTCGGCTCACTGCAATCTCCGCCTCCCGGGTTCAAGCGATTCTCCTGTCTCAGCTTCCCAAGTAGCTGGGACATGGCCCATGCCCCCACACCCAGCTAATTTTTGTATTTTTAGTAGAGACGGTGTTTCAACATGTTGGCCAGAATGGTCTATATCTCTTGACCTTGTGATCTCCCTGCCTCAGGCTCCCAAAGTGCTGGGATTACAGGCATGAGCCACCACACCCGACCACCTGTGTAAATTTTAACATTAGAGTATAATCTTCATGAGAACTCTTCCTTTCCACTACATCATGGTTCTTAATTAGTGCTTGATAAAGATTTGTAGAGGGCCGGGCGCAGTGGCTCACGCCTGTTATCCCAGCACTTTGGGAGGCCGAGGCGGGTGGATCACGAGGTCAAGAGATCGAGACCATCCTGGTCAACATGGTGAAACCCCGTCTCTACTAAAAATACAAAACACTAGCTGGGCATGGTGTCGCGTGCCTGTAATCCCTTCTACTCAGGAGGCTGAGGCAGGAGAATTGCCTGAACCCAGGAGGCGGAGGTTGTGGTGAGCTGAGATCGTGCCATTGCACTCCAGCCTGGGTAACAAGAGCGTAACTTTGTCTCAAAAAAAAAAAAAAAATTGTGGAATGTCTGCATGTAGTGAAAAGAATCAGGTTAGGAATCTGCTGGACAGAAAGTGTGTCAGAGCCAGAGAGACATTTGGATACATGAAGTGAAATGGAGCAGGTGAGAGTTCTGACTGATGGAGATTACTTGAGAAGCCAGATATAAAGTGAATAATTTTGACAGTGGAATAAGCAACTCTCTATTATTTTCAATTGGAGAAGACAGATTTTTATTCTGGATTAGAACAGTCCCAAGAAAGCAGAAATCACTTGTGAACCATAAGTTGGTGTTCGCCATGGTTGTTATGAACTTGGTTTTTGTGACTGTCATTTCCCCTAAATATAGGCAAGGGTAGCCCTCTGGACTTAGTATTCCCTCACTACTCCCTTTATTTTAATAGTATAATAACTTAAGAAAGCATCTGAGATCCTGCTGACCAGTTCAGCTACCTATTGATTGTAGCTATTGATATGCCCATTGCTACCTCTTGGCATGATGCCTTCTTAAGCCTCATAGCATGCTGTATTTAATTATAATTGTCTTACGGTAAACATGTGGGATTAACTGGAAAACTGCATTCTTGGTGGTATGACAACCCAGGTTTGTAAAGTGGAAATGAGCAAACATACTCATGAACTATTACCATATTCTGTCCAGTTATTAAAATTGAATTTATGGAGTCCTGTATATGCTTAAAACTCCAGAGATAGGCCGGGCGCGGTGGCTCAAGCCTGTAATCCCAGCACTTTGGGAGGCCGAGGCGGGTGGATCATGAGGTCAACAGATCAAGACCATCCTGGTCAACATGGTGAAACCCCGTCTCTACTAAAAATACAAAAAATTAGCTGGGCATGGTGGCACGTGCCTGTAGTCCCAGCTACTCGGGAGGCTGAGGCAGGAGAATTGCTTGAACCCAGGAGGTGGAGGTTGCGGTGAGCCGAGATCGCACCGTTGCACTCCAGCCTGGGTAACAAGAGTGAAACTCCGTCTCAAAAAAAAAAAAAAAAAAACTCCAAAGATAGATCTTTTCTCTTATACCTGATGCAAGGAAAATGAACATTCACATTTACAAATTCAACATGATAATTTTGTGCCTTTAGATAGGGCACATACACACACCACAATTCTAGAGAAGACATAGGAAATTAAAGTTTTTTTCAACAATGACGGGTTTAGGAAGCATAATTCTATGATGAATGGCTGTGCAAAATACTGTTTACAGAAGTACAGATAAATTCTTCTCTGAAAGGGGAATGAAGTTTGTACTATGACAGCTTGGCTTCATAAGGCATAGAATGATGAAAACTGTGTGGAAAAGATGAATATCTTGTTTCTCAGCCTGTCCCACTGTCACTTTGCCCTTGTCCCATGGTGAAGTTGAAGCCATTTATTCATGCAAAAGCCATTTTCATTTTTTCACAGAACCAAGCAAGTATATACAGATAGCTGCACACTTGGGGGAAATGCTTAGCTTAGCTTAGTGTCCTTATTTCCGAATCTCTTACACCTTGGCATCCTAAATTGGGGGAAGTATTTTCTGTTTCGGTATCTTTTTTTTCAGCCGTGTGCCTTGATGCAAACCACAATTTCACAGCATAGTACCCCACACCTCCCTGTAAAACGTAGCAAACCCTTTCAGTGTTTGAATGCCACAGTTAGAATATTTGTGAAATATTACTTGTAAAGTATTTGTGAAAATATATACACCCAAAGAAGGTAAATCTAGTTTTTTACCTGTAAGATGTACAGAATAGAGTATGTGTCTATTTTCTAGTTGATTTCATGTAGAACAAATTACAAGAGAGTTCTAGGATCCTATTGGCAGATGCCTGAAGTTTTAATTACAGTTTGCATCTTACTCATTGTGTGTATAGGGTTACCTTATATGTGTGTGCCATTGCTTTCAGTGGCAAAAAAAACAGTTACTTTTGCACCAACCCAATACCACGAGGCTTACCTGGGCAAGATGACCACATCGATGTTTCAACTGATGGGCATGGAGAATGAGGGAAATTATTCCAGTGAACTTTGTATAGTAGGTGTTCAGCAAATATTTAATATAAAAATCTGTTTATGGACAGATTAAACTGTACACTCTCTCTACAAGATAGAGTGTTGGAAAATATCTGTAGGGGTGTGTGCCTTTATTGGAATTTTAAAAACAAATGTAAAGCCTTTACTTAAAGCATCAGCAAGCAAACAGGTAAGGTCTTTTTATTGAGGGGGGTTGCTTTTAGCATTACCAAGAATTGCACACAATTTCGTTTTATTCTTTCATTATTTTGATTATTTTCGAAGTGCAAATATTTGTCTTCAGGAGATTTGCTAGTTCAATTTAAAATTATTCAAGAATTGTGGTTTTTAACCTGGGAACTCAGAAGAGTTACAGCAAATATAAATTATTTATTATCTGTTTTAGTAGTATAAGGTGACATATAGAAAGCATATATACAATGGAAGTCCATATATATTCATGCAAAAACATTTATTAAATGACTGTAAGGGATTAAGGTGATAAGAAATGGGCTGTCTTGGTTTCTTGTTGTTGTTCTATTCTTCCTCCAGTGGAGTAGAGATGAGGCTAGGTTCTAAGTGAATTTTAAATCCAATTGTTATTAAGAGAATGCAGCTCTAAAATACAGTTCAATTTTTTTAATTGCCTTTTAGGTTTTGGGGTACATGTGAAGAACATGCAAAATTGTTGCATAGATACACTCATGGCAGTGTGATTTACTGCCTTCTTCCCCATCACCTATATCTGGCATTTCTCCCCATGCTACCTCTCCCCCACTCTCCACCCCCTGCTGTCCCTCCCCTATTTCTCCCCAACAGACCCCAGTGTGTAGTGCTTGCTCCCCTCACTGTGTCCATGTGTAGCACTGTTTACAATAGCAAAGACCTGGAACCAACCCAAATGCCCATCGATGATAGACTGTACAGGAAAAATGTGGTACATATACACGATGGAATACTATGCAGCCATCAGAAACAATGAGTTCGTGTCCTTTGTGGGGACATGGATGAACCTGGAAACCATCATTCTCAGCAAACTGACACAAGAGCAGAAGATCAAACACCGCATGTTTTCACTCATAGACGGGTGTTGAACAGTTCAATTTTTATTGTGTAACAAACTAAAACATTCATCTTCTAACATACTATCTGTTGTCTCTATCAATTGTTGCATTCCAATATTGCTAATAGAACATGAGAATGTATATTGCTAATACCTTTATGATATCCCAGAAAACATAAAATATTTTGTGTTCTCTTTTACTCTGACAGGTTGGTACAGAGGATACACCCTCCAAAATAAATCTAAAAAGGTATGACGTATCATCCACTTTTTATTTCATTTGAAATCTGTCTGCTAGTTTTGTATTGTGCTATCTGATTCGCTCCTCTGGTCTCTGCTGTCTCTAGACCTAGTTTGCTTTCTCTTTGATGGCTCTTCTTTGGATTTGAAAGCAAATTCTTTAACCTCAGTGCTTAAATTTAATAGTGTAATTCCCATTGACTGTATTTCTCACCAGCCAATTCAAGGAGAAACTCCTGGAAGACTTCTTGCTTCCTGTCCCTCATATTAAGCAAGTTGGAAACACATTCATTGCTCTAGTGGGATCTCTCTTTCCAGGAGGGATGGATGGATGGATGCTTCTCCCTTCATCCTTTACTTCCAATGCTAAGATTCCAAACTAAAGGATCTCCCCATTTCCACATGATCCTTTCCTTCATTGTTCATTGGATAAACAAGAGTGGTTTTCGTACTGTGAGCCTCATACCCCAATAATACATTATGAAATCAATATGGTGGATTATAACAAATTTTTTTTTCCAAAAAATGAAACCGAAAAGTAGAGAACATGAGATGCAATGGTAAGTATTGTTTCATGAAACTTTTGTTTTACATATATACTTTTATTTATTGTTTTTGTTATATTTTATGTATTTCATATCTAATACTGGTTGCCATAAAAATTACTGTTCACCAGAGGCACAGTTTGAAAAATACTGACCTAAATGGTTCCTTTTGCCAGTGCCAAAACTACTAATCATCAGGCTAAAGAGACTCTATTAATTATGTTAATACCCCCCTCAGTTTCTTTTAGGTCTTGTCAGCACTGTTCCTTTGATACTGCTTGCTGGGGCAGCATGACATGTCAGCACTTTCTTTTGAAAAAGCAGAGTTGATAGGGCCTTATTATTTCACTGTTAGTTCACATGCCAAATAGCAAATTAGGAAAGAGATAAGAGAAACGTTTTAGAATTTATCAAAAGAGGAGTGAAAAAAGAAAGCCAGACCCACAGTTCTTATTCTTCACGGACAGCAGGAGAAAGATGTAATCCTGCACCACAGGCTGATGTTACACACCCAACTCTCCAAAGGGTATGGGGCCCAGAAAGACACCGTTCTACATGGTATCGTTCATAAAACATCAGGACTGCTTCTGCATTGCTGATGCTTAAATCACACTCAGCATTTGCACATGTATGTGCACACATACACATGTTGTTAACTTTGACAGTTTACGAATCTAGCAAAATAAAGGAATGTTTGCTTTTAATGTAACTCCTACAATTTTGGTCCTTTTTTTCTCTCCCCAAACCAGAAAATGAATTTTTCTACCCACAGTTAGATTCATATACCACATGTCTTTATTTCAAACCAAATTATTTTCATTTAATCTCTTACTGACTTCAGTTTTTTTGGGCCAGCAAATAGGGACCAAGAGTGTAGTCATGGCAGAGTGAATGAGAGCATGATAGAATTAAAGTGAAAACCTTTCTTCTGGGATCCTCAGTGACATAGAGTACCTGGCTATGGCCACTCTTGCTTTTTAGCCCTATTGGTGTTCATTTTACTCACAGTTATGGAAGTGGTAGTTATTTCAAAGCACAATTAGAGTTAGCAACTTTGATGTTCTGCATTTGTTAAACAGTAAGAATACTTATGTCAGTTCCCAATTCTTTTTTTTTTAATGTTAATTTAAAAGCAATAAACAAAAAACCACTCTCAAAATTATGTGATGAACTTAAGGAACAAACACAATTCTTGATTTTTCACTGGGAAATGTCAATTATGTTCAACCAAGGTCCTAGATCAGGTCTTCCTTTTCATAGACTCTACAGTATGTAAGGATCATTTTGAACATGGAAGACCTTGCTTTCTAAAGCATCCTATGATATTCTAATACAGTCGTTTCTCAGTTCCACAGGGGATTGGTTCCAGGACCCCCACAATAACAAAATCCACGGAGGCTCAAGTCCCTGACATAAAATGGCAAAGTATTGGCATATAACCTCTGTGCATCCTCCCGTGTTCTTTAAATCATGTCTAGATTACTTGTAATATCTAATACAATGTAAATGCTATGTAAATAGTTATTATACTGTATTGTTTAGGGAATAATGGCAAGGAAATGAACCTCCTTTTACTTTTTCCCCCCTATATTTTCCATCATCGGTTGGTTGAATCCATGATATGGAGGGCTTGGTGTATGTAAAAATCAATCTAGCTAATAGTGCCATTGTTGTCAGCTTTGAACAGTAGATAGGGTGCCCCACCGGGAGCTAAACGATACATTCTGGATGTGTTTTTAATTTTTTTGTGTTCATTAAAGAGTGCTTAAAACTTTTAAGTTTAAAATCTCACCCTTTGGAAGAAATCTTTCAGTAAGAGTTTTTCTTTGTTCTCTGAATAAATAAAGGAAAACTTTGTAATTCAGTGGAATGATGACACTAACAAGGGCCATGCATTTATTTGATGATTGTTTTAAGTTAAAATATCCTTCTTGTGGAGAGATCCAGGGAAAATATAGGGAATTCAAAATCAGTTGCCATGAATTCTGCTCTGCTTTTGACACCCTTTCATTAAGAGATCAGCTCATTAAAAATGCTCTTCTAATGCCTAAAAACAATAAATAATCCCCCATTTCTCCGTCTGTAGGGGAAGAGCTACTTGAAAGGCCTATTGATTTAATGGAAATTCTTGGTGTCATTTATAAGCTGACCCAGCCATTTAGAGTGATGATAAAAGGAGCTAGAGGTTTTATAAATTGAACAGGCCGAGTGCTTTTCTGAAACTGATTATTGATCCTGGTGGAATTGTGAGAGTGTGGATAAGGCCAACATCTAGAAATCATTAGTGTATTTTTCTACTCAAGTGAGTGGGTTGCGTTGAGGAAAGAAAAGTAGCATTGAGGAAAGAAAAGCAGAATTGACAGCTAGGCTGTAAATCAGAAACACATGACCTAGGTTTACTCTGACTTTCTGTATATATCCTTTATGATAGGAGACATTCTATAAGCATCAGGTTTACCAGAACAATTCTATGACTGTAAATGGCCAGGTGTCATGTAAGTGGAAGGGTGAAGCCTACAGATGACAGAGTGGCAATATAACAAATACACACATGCATGCATGCATACATACATACATACATGAATACATACATACATATATACATACATATATATTTGACATAGGATCTTGGTCTGTTGCCCAGGCTGGCGTACAGCGGCGTAATCATGATTCACTGAAGCCTTGACCTCCTGGGCCCAAGCAATCCTCCTCCCTTAGCCTCCAGTGTAGCTGGAACCAACGGCATGTGCCACCAAGCCATGCTAATTTTTTTAGTTTTTTTGTAGAGATGGTGTTTCAGTTTGTTTCCCAGGCTGGTCTTGAACTATTGGGCTCAAGTGATCCTCTTGTCCTGGCCTCCTAAAGTGCTAGAATTACAGGCATGATCCACTGTGCCCTGCCTTAAATATTCTCTTAATATGAAAATCATCATGTCTGAACACCCAGTATAAAGTATCTGCTTATGATCTGCTTAGATGCCACAGAATTCATCAGCATGCATTTATTTTTTCTGAATACATCTATCTTGAATGTTTTCCACTTGTTAGGAAGGACTCCTCACCAGATTGCGAATGCATGAAAATTTTAATTGGTTGTTTACCTTCTAATTTGAAAAACCTTCAGCAAGGATGTTCCTTTGTAGTAGCAGTGTTACATTCTGCTTTTGACTTCCAGATACCAATCCTTGTAACTAAACAGTTCATCCCTACCCAGCGCCCTACCCCCACCCCTGCTTTTTTATGAGTTTTGGACTTTTTAGTGTGGTAAAAATAAATATAACGTAAAATTTACCATCTTAACCATTTTTTGTTTTTGAGACAGAGTTTCGCTCTTGTTACCCAGGCTGAAGTGCAATGGCATGATCTCGGCTCACCACAACCTCCTCCTGGGTTCAGGGGCCTCAGCCTCCTGAGTAGCTGGGATTATAGGCATGCACCACCATGCCCAGCTAATTTTTTGTATTTTTCATAGAGACGGGGTTTCACTATATTGACCAGGATGGTCTCCATCTCTTGACCTTGTGATCCACCCACCTCAGCCTCCCAAAGTGCTGGGATTACAGGCTTGAGCCACCGCGCCCGGCCCCATCTTAACCATTTTTAAGTGTGCATTTCAGTGGTACTAAGTACATTCTCATTGTTGTACAACCATCAACACCATCCATCTCCAAGTGTTTCATCTTTCCAAACTAAAATGCTGTCCCCTTTAGATACTAACTATCCATTGTCCCTCCCCCAAGTCCCTATGAACCCCCATTGTACTTTCTGTCTTTATGAATTTGACTACTCCAGATATAAGTGGAGCCATACAGTATTTGTCCTGTGTGACTGGATTATTCCCAACATCCCCGTTTGGGTTCCCACAGAGATGATAGTGAACAAATCATTTACCGTGCTACAGTGGCACAGCAGGCAGAATAAACACCCAGAGTTCCTTAGGCATCCTAGGCACAGGCCTAGAGTTTCAGAACTGGAGAAATCAGACCCCAGCGGAATCACACACACATTTAATTTCTGTTTTCAATTATTCGATCCATTTTCCAAAATGCTTCCTAATTCCACCTCCATAATGAAAGAGGTCATTGTCACCTTTCGTCTGTGTGTGTTCTTGGTCTCATCAGTGACAGGATTAGAATCATGCTTTCTCACTCATATGCCCCATGTCTGCCCCCTTCTTAAAGCAAGGAGGAGAAGGAATGCACTTTTTATCTTGGGGCTCTGTGTCTGGTGGGAAAGCACATCCAGGATCTAGTGCAAGGAGCAGCTTAATCTCAAATGTTCTTGCTGTTTCCTGTTTTCCTGGCAAAGGATTAAAAGAGAAAAAGCAAAGTATTGTACAGACGAATATAGCACATGCAACTGGACACAAGAACAACCCTGTCAATGTTCGCTGGTTTCCTGTCTGAGTGGAGTAAGGATCAATGGGTATATATGCTTCCGGGTAGTGGGACATCCCGTCCCACCTTTATGATCAGCCACCCCTGACGTGTCATGTTCATGGAGTTCACACCAGCTCTTCCAGGAGTAGGGCTGGGAAGCAGTTCGCCAACAGTGCCAGCTATAAGTTGCATGTAAGTTACCATGAAACAGAGCAGTAGCGCCATTTCCAGAAGGCATCTCCTCTGTGTATGAGCATATCACACAGTAAACAGCGGAAGCTTTGGCATGCATAAGAACACTGTCATCTGGGACTTGCTTTCTGTTGGTTAGATCTGATTCTCCATTCTCCGATTGTTACCCATCAGTTTCTCCTCTTTCTCTTAGGTCTTTCCATGCCTAAGTCTTCCCTAGGGGCAGTGTTACAATACTGATATAGGATTGCCTCTTAGGGATATAGAATGGAAAGCAGTTTGAGACTGTGAGGTGCTAAAAATAACCAGGTAACTAATACTCATTGATTTTTGAGTGCATTTGGTTTAAGTGGGAGTGTTGAGAGGAATTACTTTAGAAAAATTACTGTGTAGTTCACTCATGAAAAAATGTGGTTTTGAACTGTACAGCACTTACACATGGATTTTATTTTTTAGCCAAATGCAGAGCAAACTTACTATATTCCTGGGACATGAAACCTGTGTAAAAGTACATGCGGGTTGTGCAGGGCTGCATGCCACATTCGAGTATGTGTGGATCTGGGTATGTGCTCTGTGGAAGGGAGTTCCTGGAACCAATCCCTTACGTATTCTGAGTGATGACTTATTTTATGGGCTACTAAGTCCTGCATAGCTTCCATGTCACCCCTTATGTGAAAACCTTACGGGAAGCATCTCCTGGCAAGTAGCATCTGAGGGGTTTAGGAGCTCACATTTACACTCTTTACCATTATGGTATCTCTGAGCTGACACAGCATGTTTGCCTCTTCATTCTCAAAATATCCTATGCTCTCTGAACCCCAATTTTAATTTCTACCTTTTTGGTGTTTCTACTATGCTTTTGTTGAGGTAGCCAGTCAATGTAAGTGAAGTCCTACAAACCTGATGTCAGGAATTTAGCTATTGCCCAGGTGTTCTCATTCATTCTTGCTATCATTCATTCTCTTTACTTTGTGCTGAGGTGGTTTTTTTTGTCTGTTTTTTGTTTTTTGTTTTGTTTTGTTTTTATGGCCATATAACCGAAGTTCTTCTCTCTGTAGGGCATTTTCCCTGAAACGTATATCCATTTGAAAGAGGCAACTGTGGAAGACCTGGGGTAAGTTCCAACCTAGGAAGACTCTCAAAAGTGGTGAAGATGTAAGATTATCATTAATGATCATCTTAAGGCATTAGTGCCTTATGTATGTTAATAGTTCTCTCATCTCAGGCCGGGCACGGTGACTCACGCCTGTAATCCCAGCACTTTGGGAGGCCGAGATGAGCAGATCATTTGAGGTCAGGAGTTCAAAACCAGTTTGGCCAACATGGTGAAACCCCATCTCTACTAAAAATACAAATATTAGCCAGGCATGGTGTTGGGCGCCTGAATACCAGCTATCGGGGAGGCTGAGGCAGGAGAATTCCATGAACCTAGGAGGCAAAGCTTGCAGTGAGCTGAGATTGCACCACTGGACTCCAGCCTGGGTGACAGAGTGAGACTCTGTCTCAAAAAAAAAAAAAAAAAAAAAAAAAAAAATCTCTCATCAGTTCTATGAGAGAGAAATGAAGAAAAACTTTTAATTGATATAATTCCTTCTTCTTTCTTCTATTTCTATAATTGTTCCTCCTTTGCATTACTTCTCCAGAATGCTAAAAGCAGAAGTAGCAAACCAAGGGTTTTTGCCTCTGTATTATATTTATTACCTCTTCACTGATTTTGTATGTGTTTGTGTGTGTGTTTGTACACATAAACATTTGGTACTCTGTCTGATAAGATCTGAGAAGCCCCCACTTTAGGATCTTTGAGAGACAGATGATTAAGTGACAGCCTGCACTTACCGGCTCTGAGCCTTGGATGAATCATTTAGCCTGAAGTATATTTTGGATTTTTCACAGCATATTAGGGGAAAACATTCTGGCCCTACTTGAGCTTGCCTTGAGATTCGAATGAGGTAACTTATGCAAATGTGTTCTGCAGATACTATCTGGTACATTTTGGGTATTCATATTTCTTGCCCACCTCGTTTGTCCTGGGAAGTACTGCCTCTGTGGCAGCTAAGAAGAGTGAGCTATTTAGTCTTTTGGGAGAGAGAGGTCACTTAGGTGGTGGTGAGTCTCTGGCCAGGAGAGTTTTGGAGGCAGTAAGGAGAGGCTGGGGTAGGACTGGGACCCTGGGGCTGATAGAGTGGGGCCGAGGAGAGAACGGACAGCTGGGTCACAGAGCCACACAGCCTCGCAGCTAGAAAGAGCATTCCCACCATAGTTCAACACCATCATTTCTTTTCTTTACTTTTTTTTTTTTTTTTTGAGTATGGGCAAGCTTTATTATATATGAAGTTGATTTCATAGAATTAGAATGGCAATTTTACTTAAAATTAACTCATTAAAAAGTGTAAATGTCACGATATAGATATGTTTTCCAAAACTCCAAAAGGTAGTGAAACTGGTACAGATACTGTTACTCGTCTTTGGACCAATACAACAACAGAATCGATGAATCTGGTTCCCAGACAAGCATGTACCACTTGCTCCTGTGCTGTAGGGAAGCGAGGATGCTGTAACAACAGAGGCATTATTCATGCAGTGACTCATGGATAGTTGCTCCTCATTAACACTGCTAAAATTAGGTTCACATGTTTTACTTCATGTGGGCCCTGATGCTCCTGTCTTTTCGTTTTTTGAGTAATATCTTTCAAGGTATTGCCTCATACACACTCATTGCAAAATGCATCACAGATGGGAATTGAAGCCTCTTCACAAAGCACACTCCTGGAAACTCATAGGTAGTATGCATCAGTGGTCTGTAACTGATCTCATAATATGGCAACACCATTTCTTTAGAACATAATTTTCTTGATTCCACAAGACGTGACAGGATAGGAAAACGCGTAGTTAAGTGAGAACAGTCTTGTTACAGGACGGTTATCTCCCAGGTGTATATTGCCAATTCTGATTTCCGTGTTGTTATTGAAGGGCCTTATTTTCAATCATCAGAACACATTGAAACTCTTGCTGAGTCAAGTCCCAAAGAATCCCAAAACAGTAAAAAAAAAAAGAAGGAAGGACCCGCCTACGAGGACACAGGTCTTCGTCACTCCAGACTCCCAGACACAGCACAGGGAGCAAGAAATGGCAGCACTGTCATTTCATAGACAAGTGGTCAAGATGTCCTCAAAGCCATATAGCTCTTTGGTGGCAAAACCAAGAGCAAAAACCAGGTCTCCTGCCCTGCTGGAGAAGTCCTCTTTCCAGTGGGCCACGGGCACCGTGCCCTGTCACCCGCCATGTTAGCGGAAATGCAGGTGGGGAGGCACATTACACCCATTAGGGTTGTACAGCATGCTCGTTACATTTGCAATTCAAATAGTAATTTTTCATGGTAAGCATTTCCCAGCTATTTTGTAAGTTACACTAATTCTAAAGAAATCTTACTTTACCAGAAATTCAAACTTAAGTGGGCCTCCTATATTTCTCGTTAAGTCTGGCAGCCCTACCGCCAGTTCCCGTTTGTTTTCCTGCTCTTGATTTCTCCCTTTTTCTTTTTGCTAATCGTAAAAATGCCAGAGAGGATTTATGTGCATAAACGTAGTACCTACCTTTATGTGAGTCTTCTGTGAATAAGCGAGGATTTTGTGAACTGTACGTTTTCTAAGTTGTGAAACTGCAGATGAGAAGAAACCATGGGACTTTTCCAGAAAGGGGTGCTGCCTCTGCATCCCCAACCTCCACCCTGGCCCCTACCCTAAGCAGGTCCTGGGTGGAGTCACAGCCCCAGGACACTTGTGCCACACACACCTATCCACGCAGCCTCCCAAATGAAACAGCTGTTTGGTGGAACTAGCTAAAATGCTGCATATTTTGCTTCCATCTGAGAATCACTGAAGCCAGCCTGGCTCAGTCATTGAGCCTCCTGGAGAAATCCAGACTGGGGAGGTCGAGGTTGGGATTCAGTTGCAGGAACTGAGCCTGTTTTGAGGACTGCACTGTCTCATTCTCCTTCTCCTCGCCCAGATGCTTGGATATGATAAAGTCCCCTACACAACTCCTGACCCCATGCCCAGATAGCTTTCTTCTCATCCTTGAGTGTTAAGGAGTCTGACCCCTATCAAGTAAAGCAGTGCCAATCAGTCTGGAGTAACATGACCCTCCTTTGGTTCTTTGTAGGCAGCACGAAACCGTGATTCCTGGTGAGCTCCCCCTGGTGCAGGAGCTCACTTCCACTCTGCGAGAATGGGCTGTCATCTGGCGAAAGCTCTATGTGGTGAGTTTCCCCTTGCGGCTTGGAGCCCCAAGGTCACTCTGGGTCCTCAGCCTGTAGCTCCTTTGCAGGGTGTTGGCCCCTTATTGGCTGACTTCATGGAGTGGGATGCATCTTTCCTGGACCACACAAAGGCTGGTAAGCAGGAGATTCTCATTTCCCCGGAGCTGGATCATTGATGTGGGGTAGTGGAGTAAGTGGGCATCATCATTCTAGCAGTCTTTTCTCAAGTGACAAACATGCTGATTGTGAAAGTAGTAATGATAATCATCACTGCAAACACTTACATAGTCTTTCCTAAGTGCCAGAAACTATGAATCCTTACAACATTCCTATAACGTAGGTGCCATTATTATTATCAATTTGTTAATAAGGAACCTGAGTCATGGTCTTAGCTTCTTCATGTATGCCACTAGACTGAAATTTGTCAACATCTCAGGGCTCAGCCACATGAAGATGACATTCTTTGCCTTGTCTCATGTACCTTACAGACTCAGAAACTTGAATAGTGTTAAGTCGTGGTCTGAGAATTGCCTTTTTTGGGCAGACTCACAGTATTCTTTCTCCCAACGCTATTTGACCTCAGAATGCTAATACAGTGTGTCAGTTCACAGGGAAATGATGAGGAACCAGCGCACCCTCTCCATGATAAACAGTAAGCACAAGTTATACACAGGAATCAGGACCAATTAAATCTAGCATTTAACAGGATCAAACTGAGAACAGCTGTGTTGTAAGAGACCAAGGATGTTCAAAGTTTATTGGCAGCAAGCCCGCCTCATCTCCGGCATAGAAAGCTCTCTTCTTAATGTTGGAATCCACAAAAACTTATTTATTTATTTATTTATTTATTTATTTATTTATTTATTTTTTTATTTATTTACTGAGACAGAGTCTCGTTCTGTTGCCCAGGCTGGAGTGAAGTGGCACGATCTTTGCTCACTGCAACCTCCACCTCCCAAGTTCAATCAATTCTGCTTCTGCCTCCCTAGTAGCTAGGATTATAGGCATGCGCCTCCACACCCAATTAGTTTTTTTATTTATTTTAATTTATTTTTTTAGTAGAGACGAGATTTCACCATCTTGGCCAGGCTGGTCTTGAACTTCTGACGCCAAGTGATCCACCTGTCTTGGCCTCCGAAGTGTTGGGTTTATAGGCATTAGCCATTGCACCCTGCCCACAAAGACCGTTTATTCTGAAGTTGCCTCTTTGCCTGGAACCTTTGTAATTAAGCATCACTGGGTCTTGCCTCTGTTAGTGGGCTCCAGTCTTTTGTGGCTCACCAGGAATTCCTATGGCAAATATATTTTCTCCTGTTAGATGTGTGCATGAGTTCAGAGAGGTCGTAGACCAGACTTAATAGTCTGGGAACCCTCCTCTTTTCTTCATGTGGCTTTGTTTATCCAAATTTTTGTTCAGCCATGTGTTGATTCATTTTAACTCTGAAAGGCCAAACTTAATGAGTCACTGAGAATACCTTACTCTAGACCCTAAGTACTGAAGGCAATAATCAAAGGCTTATTTTAGCATAACTTCTAAGAGTTCATGGAAGATATTTCATTTTCATTCAGGGCTGTGGTGTCCCTTGGTTAGTCACAGCATTGGAAATCACCAACCCCTTTGGTGGAAAAGCACACACTATTTCTCTACTTGCTCATCCTTCAAGACCTTGTTTCGGTACTTTCTTCTTCATATTGTATCTAAACACACCAATCTATAATCTTTCCCTCTGGACCATAGAAGCACTTACTGCTGAACACATAATCTGACCCTTGGGGCACACGGCCTCATAATAAAGGTGATCTTTTGATCTATTTACGTTTAGTTGAAGAGAGAAAGCATGTTAAGTTCCTAAATCACAAGGAGGATGGAGACACTACTGTCAGCCCTGTGGCCGTCATTGATCATCTTGCACTTACATTGAGAGTACTCTCTGGTTCTGGTTTATTGATAGGTTGGTTTGGTGGATGTAACAAGGTTGATGGATGAGGAATTGCATGTCTGTGGGTTGGTTCCTTAATATGTTCTTTCTGGAGATTGATGAGTGTTGAAATGCGTTAGATAATCGGTATTGGGAAAGGAGGGTTTAAAAAAAAAAGAAAGATTTATGAGAGTTGGGAGTATGAGTGAGGCTGCCTTTTTTTCTTGCTAAAACACAACTGGTGTGCCCAGTTTATTATCTGTGTCCTCTACACATCCACAAGTAATTGTGCCAGGTCAACCATTGAACAGAACTGAGAAAGAAGTGAATGAGGGCCAGGCTCAGCGGCTCAAGCCTGTAACCCAAGCACTTTGGAAGGCCAAGGAAGGCAGATCACTTGAAGTCAGGAGTTCGAGATCAGCCTCTCCAACATGGTGAAACCCTGTCTCTACTAAAAATACAAAAATTACTTGAGTGTGGTGGCTTGTGTCTCTAATCCCAGCTACTCAGGAGTCTGGGGCAGGAGAATCACTTGAACTCAGGAGGCAGAGGTTGCAGTGAGCTGAGATCATGCCATTATAATCCAGCCTGGGGCACAAGATTAGAACTCCATCTCAAAAAATAAAAAATAAAAGAAGTGAATGGGGATGAAGAATTAGGCCTCTTGTATTTTGGCTGCCAAAATCTCTTCGTAGTAAAAGGTGATAAGGTCTGGTTGAGCATATCCAAGGTGGGAGAGTTTCACAGTGTAGTAGCAGAATTCGGTTAAAAAAAAAAAAAGCTAAATATAGGTGATGGGGAGGAAGGCAGCAAACCACATTGCCATGTATGTACCTATGCAACAGTCCTGCATGTTCTTCACATGTAACCCAAAACCTAAAATGCAATCATATATATACATATATATATATGTATGTCTGTATATATATGTGTGTGTATATATATATATATATATATATATATATATATATATGCCATCCCTTCTTCAAGGGCAGCACATTTCCTATTTTAATTTAGATATCTAATAACATAATTATTTTGGTATTTGTGAATACTTTAAAATGTCTTATAGCTGCTGTTGATTGACTAAAAGACATTCATTGTAGGAATTCTCAATTAGTTGATAGGACTAAGAAACCTGCTTCTGCTTTTGATACATGCTCATCTAGCAGGGAATAATCCATCCACTAAGATTTGTTATTAAGGTTAGTGCAAAAGTAATTGCAGCTAGTATTAATTGCGGCTTTCTCTTTCTTTTGCCTGTCCCTTGCTAAACCATTGACAGTTCACTTCAGGCAGAATTTCTGAACTTCTTACTGAGAAATTTCTGTATCAGAGTAGCAAACCTCAATATTATGTTTCACGGGGAAACAAGTAAAAAGTATGCAAATCTCTAGCTTTCATGTCTCACCTCCTTTCACCCACCATACGCTTTTGTTGATGTTTTTGCCTTCTGATTCTGTAAGTTCCTTTAGTCCAGGTAAAGATAAATATAGATTTTACTAGTATGTAGCAATACTTGTATTATTTTGCTCTTGCATTTCCCCCTGTAGATTACAACACCAGGCACTCTGATGTCTTTAAAGACACCTGTGGCCAGCATAGTGACTCATACCTGTAATCGATCACATCCTCTTAGGAGATCAAGCCTGGGATATTATTTGAGTCCAGAAGTTTGAGACCAGCCTGGGTGACATAGCAAGCCCTATCTCTCAAAAATTATCCAGGCACAGTGGCACACACCTGTAATCTCAGCTACTCAGAAGGCTGAGATGGGAGGATCACTTGAGCTCCAGAGGTCAAAGCTGCAGTGAGCCGTGATTGTAGCACTGCACTGTAGCCTGGGTGACAGAGTGAGACCCTTTCTAAAACAAAAAAAGACACGTATGATGTGTTAGAAATCCCATATTTCTATAGCGCATTTCCTTGTTCTTTTCTTTTCACTCTGAGTTCATCAGAAATGTACATTGTGGATCCATAGTCTCATATGAGGGGAAAATGCAATCCACTAACCAGATTAGACCCTGGTGATTATTCTAGAAATGAAAAATATTTGTCTAGCTGTGATTTATTTTTAGCAGTTATATGGTAACCATGTAGAATAATCATAAATATGTCTTAAAGGGGAGGGCACTGTGTACACTGGAACAGAAATGACCCCACTTATCCAGAATAGAAGAGATGACTCCCCCCACGGTCCCCCTGTTCCTTTGGTATATTATTTTTGTTTTCTATTGGATTATCTTCCCCGGTGAGTGTTGCCCTTATGCTCAGGAGAGGAAGTGGGCTTTAGGAGGTAGACACTGAGCAGCAATTAGGAAGCTGGGTGTCCTGTGCAGGCCCAGTCCTAACCAGCTCTGTGGTCTTCGGCAAGTCACTTGAACACCTCAAGCCTCCTGGATGTTGTTCCTCTGCAAAAGCTGATGTAAAAGCTGCCTTGTTGGCCTCATAGAACTGTGAGAGTATGAAAAGAGAGAGCGTCTGTGATCTGTGCTGCTGGCAAGACCGTCAAGGACTCTGCCAATGGGAGCATGTGCTTTGATATTATCTTAGCTGGAAACAGTAGCCATTCTGGACACCCTCCCCCTGGGAAGCCTTGGCATAGCTCCCCTGTCAGCTGACTGCCTGCCAAAGACTCTGAAGGTCCCTTCTATATGGCCCCTTATCCAAGGCCACTTCCTTTGGAACAATCGTCTTAGGCAGAGTGGCCTTGAGCACTCAGCAGCAGAGCTAAATTTCTTACCATACATAGAGAACCTGCTTGGTTTCAGTTCAAGTCCAGGAGGCCTGGATCATTCCAAAATGCAGAGAAACTGCAAAGTTACAGCAGTTTCTGATGGGCTTTCCCTATATGGCTGTGCCTCAGTTGGAACTGGTTACTGGGTGTGTTTCTTGTGGTTGTTCAAGAAAGGAGGAAACAGTGTGATCAAGGAGGCCACCTGGTGACGTGCAAAGACCTTGGACATTGGAGTCACACAGGCTGACTGGTTCTTAAGTTCTGGCTTCTCCCTTACTGGGTTTGTACTTTTACACTCAGAAAAAATAACAAACCCAGTAATAGTTCCTGAAAATAAACAAACC